ATCCAACCAAAACAACAATGCCCTTACAATGCGCCCATGTCCACTCAAACAAAGGTTAACTCTGCAGTTGTGTCACGAGAACACCGATCAGCACACGAGAGCGCAGTCCAACACACACAGCAGAAGCAGCAGCAAGGGACCGTGCACCAATGCAGGACTGCTGCTGCTGTCGTTTACATCAGAAACATTCACACCATTAGAAACTGAAGAAACAGTGCGAGATGGCAAATCGGCACTATCAGATGGGGGATTTAGTGTTTCTTTGTTTTCATTGGAATTCTCGGTTGTGTTCTCGTTCTTCACTCCTTGTTGGCTTTTCTCATCATGTGTTTCCGTCTCTCTTTGATTGACGTCTTGTGGATTGGGAACTTCAACCTTTTCGGGCGACGTCCGATCGTTTTGGCTGGTTTGGTTGTTCTGGTTGGTATTACCTCCCTCTGTTTTTTCCTGCTCTGACACTTCCTTGTCTACTCCTGCATTATTCCTTCGTGTGTGTTCTTCGGAAGTCTTCTTTACTGCTGACCTTAGGCTGTGTATTGTCTCTTCCACCAACTTCCTTATTTGAGTCGCGTTTTGTACGTCTTGTTCTGCTAAAGAGGCCTGTTGCGTTGCATCGTTAACACGTGAAAGCAATGTGATCACGAATTCTTTTGCTTTTGTAATATTAAAGGAACCGTTTTCGGCCATACGTTTCTCTTCCTCTGTAGTTCCTGACAATTCCCTTACAGATGTGGTGAAATTCGAAAAATTAGTTGAGATATTATACAACGGTGATGCGATCTCCTCAAGTTTATTGGCTGCAGAGAACGATGTATCTGCTGCAGAATTCACTGCAGCAGTGGCTTTTGTGGCATTCTCTACTGCAACCGTAATTGTATTCACTAGTTCTTTAGCTTCCACTTCTCTCGTTCCGATGTCAAACATATTAGCTACTTTTTGTTTTATTTCCTCTTTAGTTTTTTCCACAAAGACATTAGCTTTCTCATTCGCATTTGACAAAGCTAAAGAAGCTTCTTCACAAACAACTATTGCGTTCATCAACGGACCAACAGTTTCTTTTGCTGCCTCATAAGCATTCTCAACCTCGACAATCTTTTTTTTCATACTTTCAAAGGATGCTCCCAATTCCGTTTCTACAGAAGTAAAACCACTTTGCGCAAGAACAACACACACGCAGCACTGCAGAAGTACCAACAGGTACACCACACGGCGCAGTTGGATGAACATCGTTGTCATGATTGTCACTGTGGGTT